AAACCTCCACGGGGAAAAAAAAAAATAGTGAAAACATGTCAAATGGAGGAGAGAGATGGCGTCAAGAGACCACAGTATATTTACAGAGAATACAAATACAAAAAAGGGCATTCAGGTTTTATAAACGACAACTTAAATTAAACCCAGGGAGCATTCTGTAAAGAAGAAAAAACGGAACTAGGACCAAAATCCAACATGCTGCTGCTGGGATCGGTAGGAGGATGTGGAACGGAACCAAATCCTTTAGTTTGAATTGATGAAAAAATATATATCTGGGCTTTTGATTGTTTGTTTTATGTTATCTTTGTCGTTTTCATGTCTGTCCTGTTTTGGAGGTATCTCTGTTTTGGAGGTATCTCTGTTTTGGAGGTATCTCTGTTTTGGAGGTATCTCTGTTTTGGAGGTATCTCTGTTTTGGAGATATCTTTGTTTTGAAGGTGTCTCTGTTTTGGAGGTATCTCTGTTTTGGAGGTATCTCTGTTTTGGAGATATCTTTGTTTTGGAGGTATCTCTGTTTTGAAGGTATCTCTGTTTTGGAGGTATCTCTTTGACTGTCCCAATGTATTCTGTAATTCAAGCTTTAGTTCAGCAACAATTTGGAGAAGAAAGAAAGAAAGATGGAAGTAGTGGGTATGACCTGCCTACATGAGGTGAAGAAAACCGGCTAGAAAATAACAAAAACAAAGCTGAAGAAACGTGAACATTGTGTCCTAGAGAAGACACGAAGGCTTCAGAAAGGATGCTCTGGGGCAGGATAAGGAGAGTGTGCTTGTGAGCGCTGCAGTACTCCTATTGAGGAGAAGCAAATGGAGAATCACTGAACTCTGAGGTCTTCTTGAGCAATGGTTCATGTGCTTATTGTTGTTACTACTGCAGCAAAGATGTCAACATGGCTCCATGTCTCAATTCAGCGGAACAGCTCTTCAAATGAAGATTAAGTCACAAATCACTGGGGGGGGGGGGGGGGTTCTCTTCTGAAATCAACAGTACAGCCTGTTATATATTTTTTATGGAACAACTGGTGTCTGAGAGCAGCAAATGCAGCCTTTTTTCTTTGAACTGAATTATGATAGTAATGGTCAATTCCAGTTAGTCATATCAATAGTTTTTATGAACATAGAAATTGCACTTCATTTCAATGAATAGTTTGTGGTACAATAATTATTGTTATATAAATTATTTAAATTTGTGAATGCTCAAATTGTAATTTATTTCCATTTTATGTTAACCTACTATTTATTTAATATTATCTATTTATTAACTTTTGTTTTATTGTTTTGTAAAACAAAAAAATGCAACCCTGCTGGTCTATCATGGCTATAAAGATTTTAAACAGGGATTCTTCTACGTCAATATTTAAAAATCTATATAGAGAGAACTGTTCACACTTTTGTTTTTAATATTTTTTTTTTAAAACATTTTTAAGTGCAGATATTTTATAACTGACAAGGTTTTGATAATTTTATAAAAGTGATTTCATTTCTGTTATTTCTGTTATTATAAAGTATCTTCAGAAAATCCACGGTTTAAAAAGAAATTATGTATTTATTATTTATTTAACATTGAAGAAATTGACTGTCATATGGTTGTATATTTATTTAGTCATTTCTGTGTGTGCTGTGATGGCTAAGTCTTAGTAGTCTTAAAATCCATTGCTAATATTTAAATAAAGAAGAAAAAAAATGGTCAGAAAGAAAAAAATAGAATATTGTTTGATTTACTTTCATAGATATACCAGCAGTTCCTCCTAAGCAGAATAACCAACAAAAGCAGTCACTGTTCTGTTGGTATCAGATTGTCTTTGTGTCAGCAATGATTTGTTTGCGTTTTGTCAGGAAAAATAAGACCAAGAAAATAGATATAAGGATCAAATGTTACCTCTCCTAGCGCTTTGTAGTGGGCCAACACTGGCTAACCCAAAACATCTTTAATGTACGATAGACGTTTTAATGCCTTTTGATAAAATATTTTTCTCTGTTCATTATTTTCTCTCAATGTGTTGAGCAGAAGCTCCATAGAGCTCTGTTCCAGTGTGTTCCATCTAGACTGGATGTCTGTGTCTAAAAAACTTAAAGGACATCTTCAAGGAAAAACTAAACCATCAAGGAGGATGACAACTATTATCAGATCCACTTCTATGCCCTTGTAGCCTTATTCTAGATTTCATTTGTTGATGCACAAAGTGCCACTAAAACCCTCACTTTCTTTCCTGATTCTTTGCATTCTGCAATGTACAATGTCTGGTCACGTGACATGACCAGGGCATCAGACCGAGAGTTGGGATTGTTTCAGATGCCTTTATTTCTTTGCCAAGATGGCCATAAGTACACTATATACACATTCTGTATAAATAGAATTTTAAAAGCTATATATATGAATATAAACATACATATATTTTTCCAGTGTAATTGTTGACTCTTTTTCTCTTGTATTAGCTTATCAGAGGAACAATACCTGCCTGAGAGTTGTGACGACTAGAGGCGATTATGACTGTGGCTTTTTAGGTTTCCTTTTCTATGGATTTCTCTATCTTTGATCCAGACATGGTGAAGATGCTAACGCATGTTGTAGTGAATCTGAAATGCTAATGTATGTTGTAGTGAATCTGAAATGTCTGTAATCTTAACTAAATGGTTGGCTCTTCGTTCAAATGTCCTGTGAGTGAGTTAATGTATAGAGGCCTCTTCATAGTGGTCACATTGGCGCTATATTGTGCAGTACTGTATCGTTGTGATAAGGTTATGATGAGGTCAGTTCACAAACACGGATCACAACGTCAAAAAGCCAATAGGGAAAGTGTAGTACTTGCTCTGAGTGATCTGTTGCAGCTAGTGGTAGACCCTGTGATAATATGATGAGGTAGCATAGTGGTAGACCCTGTGATAATATGATGAGGTTGCCTAGTGGGAGACCCTGTGATAATATGATGAGGTAGATGGGGTAGACCTGTTGATAATATGAGAGGGGCATGGGGTAGACCCTGTGATAATATGATGAGGTACCCTAGGGGGAGCCCCTGTGGATAATATGATGAGGTAGCCTAGTAGGAGACCCATGAAATATGATTGAGGTAGCTAGTAGGGAGACCCTTTGATAATATGATGAGGTAGCCTAGTGGGCCTGAATTTGATACCTGGTGATGGAATTGGATGATGTGGGAGCCTGGGGAGGAGGCCCTGAATAAATGATGGGGGTAGCCTAGTGGGGGCCTGTGATAATTTTTGATGAGGTAGCCTAGTGGGTGACCCTGTAAATAATATGATGAGGAAAAGCTAGTGGGGACCCTGTGATAAATGATGAGGTAGCCTAGTAGGAGACCCTTTGTAATATGAGGGAGGTAAGTAGTGGGGGGAAACCCTGTGATTAATATGATGAGGTTACCCTAGTAGGAGACCCTGGATAATATGATGAGGTAGCCTAGTGGGACCCTGTGATAATTGATGAGTAGCCTAGTAGGAGACCCTGTGATAATATGATGGGGTTTAAGCCTAGTAGGAGACCCTGTGATAATATGATGAGGTAGCCTAGTGGGAGACCCTGTGATAATATGATGAGGTAGCCTAGTGGAGACCCTGTGATAATATGATGAGGTAGCCTAGTAGGAGACCCTGTGATAATATGATGAGGTAGCCTAGTGGAGGCCCTTTTGTTTAAATGATGAGGTAGCCTAGTGGGGGACCCGGTGAAATATGATGAGGTAGCCTAGTAGGGGACCCTGTGATAATATGATGAGTGGGTAGGAGACCCTGTGATAATGAGAGGTAGCCTAGTAAGCCCTGTGATAATATGATGGGTAGGGCCTAGGGGGGGAAACCTGTAATAATATGATGGGTACCCCCGGGTGGAGACCCTGTGATAATATGATGAGGTAGCCTAGTGGGAGACCCTGTGATAATATGATGAGGTAGCCTAGTGGGCATGGATGGTATAACTAGCTTTCAGCCAGTGTAATGAATTTTTTTTTTTTTAAACCATTGAAAATGCCAGTATTTGAGCATGGACTTCTAAGCGCACACTGGGTAATGGCCGCTAACAATGTACTGGTACTCACCGCAGCAGAGTGAGAAAGAGAAACAAAGAACTGTGTATTTAACCTGTTTGTGTTTTAATGTCAATCTAAACATTGTTTGAGATGTAGAATTCCCTTTGCATCAGTGTCCGGGGGTTTGATTCAATTAATGCTATCGCGTTTTTGATATATGGCAGTAATACTTTTCAGACCAAACATTTTGACCAACCCCTCTATTCTTTTTATAGAGGGGATGCAGAGTTTGGCTCGCAGGTTACTGGGAAGAGCTGACTATAGAGGGGATGCAGAGTTTGGCTCGCAGGTTACTGGGAAGAGCTGACTATAGCAGCATAATAATATTATGCTAGGACATCAGCCAAAGCTTGCGGCGATAGCAGGGATTGGATCAAGCCCTCCAAGTGAAAAGAGAGGAACATGTGGGAGTGGAGATTGATTTGCAAGGCTAGAGGTCTCCCTCTTGGTTTGAGAGAGAGAGAGGCGTTTGTTGCATAAATATGTGTCCATCACTCAGAATTTCAAAACCTTTAATGGCTTCTACCCTTTTGTCTTGTGTAACCTTTCCTCAGGAAGGAGTTCTTCATACATTTGATTAAGAAAGTAGCTTATTCTTCCTCCTCCCTTTAATGCAGAAGTATACTAGACTAGGAGAGAATGAAGATTATGATTGTTCTGGTATCTTATTTGATATGGCATGACCCCTTTTAAACTGCTTGAACTGCACTGAGGTCTGAGATAAAATGGCTAAATGATAAAGATAGTTACAGAACTTAATGTAATCAAGTGTTAACAACAACAGCTTGTACATTTGATAATGATTGATGAACATATTCTTCATATAAGGAGTTTATGTCTTCCATATTTGTAATGTTTTAGTCTTTTTTCTAAATGGCCGATTGTGTGATTGGATAGAAGCACTGAAAATGTGGACTGTGTCAAATTGGCACAGAGTAGGGTGTGTGACTGGTCGGTT